CGGCCGCCAGGGCCGGTGCCCCGGGGCACGCGGAGCCTCCTCTCCAAGGAAGGACCCGCTCCGGCCTAAACGAGCCCAAAATCCGCACGGAAAAGGGCCCGGGCGCCCGCACGGGCTTAGGGCACGCGTATGTTTTCTATAGGGTAGACATGGTGCCCAGCGAGCCGCAAAGCCCCGGCCAGCCCGCGGGGTTGCACGTTTGAAGCTAAAAAGGGCTCCGAAGGAAATAAACGCAATATAGCGCAATCCGGGCTCAAATCCGTGTTTTTTAGCAACGGCCCTGGCAGCATTTCCTGTAGCGGGTGAAAGAAGTCGCTGGCTACCGAGTTCTGCCTCCCTAACTTGGCTAACGGAGCAAAGGATTAAAGCTTGGTGCGGAGAGAGGAACAAAAGGGGGAAAAAAAAACATTTCCTAATAGTAAATGACACCCATGTGGATATTGCATTGCTGGAAAAAACAAAGGTGGTTTCTGTTGTGGACCTGAAGTTTCGCTTTTTGAGTGAAAAGCAGAGAAAAATTGCAGAAATTTCACTCCAATTTCGGTTTGAGACCTAAGAGGTAGAAAAGGGCTTTCAATATATGGTGGTATTTATCTTCTATCAGAAAAACAGGTGAGATTGGAGTATGCCGGAACGCTGCATTTCTCCTAACACAACGTTAATTTCGATTAAAGGCAAATGACCTTGAAGGCTGCAGTCCCAAAGCCTCTGCAAACACAGACGAGGGAAAAATCTCGCAGGAAGGGCCTTTTTTTTTGCTGACAAAGGGGTTTGCTTTTTTTTTGCTTATTTCTTTCTGCTTTTTTGCCCTCTTCTTGCTGCTACGCCTCAGGCAGAGCCTTGGTGGCTTTGCAGGACGTGTCTAGGTGGGCATCCATCCTCTCGTGTTCACGTGCATGAGGACGTGGCCGTGCATCTACTGGTGCATATGTGCAAGCATCTATTCACACACGTGTGCACCTAGCTACTTGTGCATGAGTGCGTGCATGCACTTGTGCATGCGTGCATGCAGGTACTTGTGCATGTGTGCATCCATGTACTTGTGCATGCAGGTACTAGTGCGTGCATGCATGCAGGTTCTTGTGCATGTGTGCATCCATGTACTTGTGCACGCAGGTACTTGTGCATGCATGCATGGAGGTACTTGTGCATACGTGCATCCATGTACTTGTGCATGCATGCATGCATGCAGGTTCTTGGGCATGTGTGCATGCAGGTTCTTGTGCATACTTGCATGCATGTACTCGTGCATGCATGCATGCAGGCTCTTGTGCATGCGTGCATCCATGTACTTGTGCATGCGTGCATCCATGTGCTTGTGCATGCGTGCATACATGTACTTGTGCATACGTGCATCCATGTACTTGTGCATGCATGCATGCATGCAGGTTCTTGGGCATGTGTGCATGCAGGTTCTTGTGCATACTTGCATGCATGTACTCGTGCATGCATGCATGCAGGTTCTTGTGCATGCGTGCATCCATGTACTTGTGCATCCATGTACTTGTTCATGCATGCATGCAGGTTCTTGGGCATGTGTGCATGCAGGTTCTTGTGCATACTTGCATGCATGTACTCGTGCATGCATGCATGCAGGTTCTTGTGCATGCGTGCATCCATGTACTTGTGCATGAGTGCATGCATGTACTTTTGCATGTGTGCATACATGTCCTTGTGCATACATGCATCCAGGTACTTCTCCATGCGTGCATCCATGTACTTGTGCATGCGTGCATGCAGGTTCTTGTGCATACGTGCACCCAGGTACTTCTGCATGCGTGCATGCAGGTACTTGTGCATGCATGCATGCAGGTTCTTGTGCATGCAGGTACTTGTGCATATGTGCATCCATCCACTCGTGCATCCATCCTCTCCTCCATGTCTTCACCCCCCCGCTCATGTATGTGCATTTTTACCTCCTCGTGTCCATGTGCTTCTACCCACTCGTGTGTGTGGGCACCCATCTACTCCCGCGTGCCTCCACCTCCTCGTGCACGCGGCTGCTGCACCCCTGCACGCCCAGCTGCACTGCAGACCTCATCCCAACACACTTCATGTATCTTTATCCCCTCCCTGGATCCTTCCAAAACCAGCCTGCTTTGCAGCACATCCCCTATGCACCGGCAGAGCCCGCACGCTTCACCTAAAGGCGAGAGCCCGGGTTTCTTTTGCAATGTCACAACATTTTCCGAATTAAAATTCGCGGCGCTGCCCGCGCCCGGCCCCCGCTCGCGGCATTCCGCCGCTTGCTCGCACTTTGTGCAGCTTTTGTGTAATCCAATTACCGTTTTCTTCGGGAAAAAAAGAGCGCAAATGGTGCAATGCGATCATCGTCAACACCAAAAACTTCCATGTGCATAGATTAGCCCGGGCAATAGTTTGCAGCTCTCTAAATAAACTATTAGGCCCCGGCATTCCGGTTGCTCCGTGCTAGCCGAGCTCATCCCTCCTTTGCCTTCATTCCCCCTTTTCGGCATCGATTCCGCTGCAGATTTGCAAACAAAGCGACTTGAATTTGTTGAAATCCCTTTTAACGCATAACAAAATGCATGGACAGGAGGTAATTTTTTTTTTCTGATTTTGTGGGAGATATATTAAAAATTTTCTGGAGGAAACTGTCCAGTTTTCTCCTCCTTTAATAAAATCCCAAAATGCAACATTACGTCTCAGCATTTCAGCCCCTTTTATGCGCTCTCCCCTCGGTTTATGAATTTTCAGGGAAGTTAACTAAGTAAGGCCGCATCCCCATCTGAATCATTTCGTGGTTATTTCCTTCTGTGACTTCAATCCTCTGCTTTTAATCAAATTACGAAACTAAATTTCCACTCGTCACGTGCCTAGCGGGGCATCTGCTCAGAATCCGTCCGATTCCTACAAAAAATCCGCCTTTCCTTGGCCGCTGGAAATTTGGCAGCTCTCCGCCAAACCTTCCGCGCGCCGGGGTTTTTCCTCGGATGTTTCCCCGCGCCGGGGCTGCGTCCAAGCAAAGCTCCTCCAGCCCAAAGCGTGGCGGAATTCCGGCTTTCCGGGAGCCCTTTCCCATGGAGGTTGAGTTTTTCGGGAGCGCTCGGGGAAGGCGATTTTGCTCTGTTTATTCCATTTTCTCTGCCTTTTGTTTCCTTGCTCCTCCCTCCTGGACGCCCGTGCGCAGCGGCCAGCACTTTCCTTCCAGACTTTGCCCTTTTCCATTAAAAAACGCTCGCGGGCATTACCAAATATTTTTTTTTTCCGTGTTCAGCCAATCCTCGTGCATTAATGTCATTAGGATGAGCTTTCTCGCTCTTGATTTTCCCTCTTTCTCCCCTGCATCATTCCAAATTGCTCTTGGAGTTTAGCCCTTCCCGAAGGCATTTCTCCCAGCTGTGCTTTTTGAGCACGGACGATGCTGATATAATAAAATCAGCACAAACCCGGGAGCTTTGCAAGCTCGTGGCTGCTTCCGGAGCACATCCCAGTGCCGGGAATGCTCCGTGGGATGCAGGGGACTCCGGTGGTTCCTCCGGAATCTATTCCAGGGGAGCAGGAGGAAGGAAAACCAACCTGCAACTTGTAACCTCCTTCTTCCCGCACTGATTCCAGGGTGCATTTGCTTCTTCCGTGATGCCTGAAGCTCCTATATTGCTGCTCCCTGATAATTAATGATTAGCTCCTTAATTGTGTGATTGATCCCCAGCTTTCGGATGACGGGAGAAGCCGTCCCGATGCTTCATCCCCATTCCCATTGCTCCCGCTGCAGGATTCCCGCGGGAACCGCGCGTGCCGGGATCGGCCCCCGGGACGATCTGCAGCCTCCGGGGGAAGAAACATCCCTTGTCCCGGGTCAAAACCTCACAAATCACCATTCTGCTCCGGATTTGACCCTGGAATATGTATAAAATATGCATATTTTATATATATATATATATATAAATGCCTGAAAAGGAGGACAAGGCCTCGAGATGCTGCAGAGCGCAGGGCTTGCTTCTTTCCTCTATAGATGGCTATAACGGGCTCAGTCATTAATTGCTATTTTGTTTTCCTTTTTGCATTGCTTTAAATAAATAAAAAATCTCTTCCTCCAAAAATTTGATGGGGAAAATCCCCCTAATTCCAGCGGCGCTATCCGACAGCCTACGTTTTCCTCGCTGTTAAAATATTGACAGCCAAGCAAGACCCACAGCACCAAAGCCCCTGCTCCATGGCTGGGCCCATTCATTATTTGGGCTTTTGGGGCTCACGTTTTCCTGATATTCCTGATATTTCCTGATATTCCTCCGATTTTCCTAAGTGCAACCACAGCGAGCAGACGAAGAGCCAGCAGACCAGGGAAATCCCATCCAATTTCCCATCCAAGCTACAGCACTCAGAAAAAGAAAGCCTAGCACCGCTCCCAAAACAAAAAACCCCAAAGGATTCAAACAGGCGATTAATATTGCTCCCGAAATTCCAGGGAAAAAGTGTCTTTTAAGGAAATCAATTGTCAGTATTTTTAGACGCAGACTTTCTCTGCAGAGTTTAAAGGACGAAAATGCAAAGTGCACATGCTCTACCTTTGTATTGCGCTGGCATTTTATTATTTAATTAAACTACTCTTCTTTTCCTAGCCTCCCCTGGGACGGCTTTGCTGTTAGCCTGCTGGCCTTGACTTCCAGCCGAACGCAATTCCCAAACAAAAAGGGACAACGAATCATATTTCCACAGACATTTGTATCCCTCGGTGCAACCTTGTTTTCACGCCACGATGCGTGAATTCTGGGAAAAGCGGGATTTAGGGCAGCTCCCGCGTTTGCGCCCGGCTTTCCCGGTTTTTGGAAATGCGGACGGCGCCGAGCGAGCGCGATGGAGCCGGATTGGGATGGAGCCGGATTGGGATGCAGCGAGCGCCGGGCGCTTACCTGGTGGCAACCCTGGAGATTGGAGTCTCTTCCGTACGACGAGTACGAGCCCCTTTCTGTTTTACCTGTTGAGAGAAACCAAAATGATTAAGGTTAATTAATGAATGAGGGATGTTGGAAGAGGTGCATTTGCCTCCTCCCGGTGTTTAATGCACCCTGCTCGCTGGGTTGCACCAGCGAGGGCCTGGCACTTCTGCATGCTGTGCATGCAGCACCGTGTGTGCAGTGCTGGGCATGCATGCATGCGTGTGTGCAGTGCTGGGCATGCATGCATGCGTGTGCAGTGCTGCAAATGCATTACTGTGTGTGCACTGTTGTGCATGCAGCACCAGGTGTGCAGTACTGTGCATGCAGTGCTGGATGTGCACTGCTGTGCATGCATCAGTGTGCATGCACTGCTGTGCATGCAGCACCGTGTGTGCAGTGCTGTGCATGCACACCTGTGCATGCACTGCTGTGCATGCAGCAGTGTGCATGCACTGCTGTGCATGCACCAGCATGTGTGCAATGCTGTGCATGCATTACCGTGTGTGCCGTGCTGCACACGCGGCACCGTGCATGCACTGCTGTGCATGCAGCACCGCGTGTGCATTGCAGGGCGTGCAGTGCTGTGCATGCAGCACCGTGTGTGCACTGCAACGCCCGGCTCTATTCCTTCTTGTTCTCCATCTTTCTCCCCATGACGGCCTGCGCGCTTCCAGCCATGCCCCACACACCCCAAAAAAGCGAAAAAAAGCCTTTTTCCCACTGGAAAGAGCGGCCCGACGGGCAGCCCAGGGCAGAATCCCTCCTGCGAGGGGCTGGGGGGCGCGCGCAGCCCCTGCTCCCCCAGGATCCCTGCGCAAACTCCGCTTTCCGCAGGGTCCGGAGCGCGGGGCCGGCTCCATCCCCTCCTTCCCAAGGCAGATCCCGCCGGTGCCCTCTCCGTGCCGCCGGCCGCGGGGTTCCATGACATCCGTGGGCACCGGG